GTTTAATTATTATAAATTATAATAGTATAACATATACTTAATTATAATAGAAAAAAATGAACTAACAACAAATACAGTTAAAAAATGATATTAGTATAATTACTTAATTAGTACAAATTATATTATTATAAATTAGAAATGATACTAGTTTGAAAAAATTATATTACTTTAAATTATTATGTTATATATTGGAATTGATTATCTTATAAATTAGAATTTATTTCTATTAGTTTAGAAGTTAGAAATTATTGTATTATATATTAGAATTGATTGTCTTATGAATTAGAATTTATTACTATTTTGTTAGTGGGTAGAAATTATTGTATTATAGATTAGAATTGATTATGTTATAAATTAGATGGGCAAAAGATAATAATTATATTGGGCTCGAATTGGTCTAATCACACGAAATTAATCGGTCTCAATAAATTGCTCGAACAGAATCCGACTTTTTCCGTTCAATTTGTTATTTATGAATTTTGAATTTTAAAGTTTATTACCGAGTTAAAAAGGAGCGAATTTAAGAAAAAAAAGGGGACTACAATTTTTAATAACATCAGTCATTAGTATTTGTTAGAGATAATTAGTATTATGTTATATAACCTAATAATTTCTAAGTTTTAACATAATAATAATAAAATTCTATAACATAATGAATTATAATTTATAATATAATAATTTCTAAATTCTAACTTGTTTGTAGTATTTTTGGGCATGTGGTAACCGAGTTACCCGACTCGGGTCGTTCTCAAAGGAAGGCTCTTCGGAGCTTCGTTCACTATCTAGTCGTCAATTCACACAACCGAAAATAAAGTCCTAAACATTCTACTCGCTTGATTGTGGGTTGATTACACAAAATTAAACTAATCTACGAGCAAATAATGAAAATGTAAGAATCGAAAGAAATGTCGAACTTTGGTTGCACGGAGTCTACATAACTTGACGAAAATAAAAATAACAAAAAGGAAACATGCAAGCCTAGCGATCCTAAGTATCCTAACACGAACCTTCTATCCTAGATCATCCCGCTTCGAGCAAGTCGGGACCCCTATACTAGATAAGCACGTATCGAACCCTAACACGCATAAACACGCAATGAAAATAACGCAAGGCCTAAAATAGAACATAAACACATCATTCCAACCAAATCACGATTCGAAATAATAAGCCCTAATCAAGGTACCTATTTTCCTATAGCAAGATTGGACGAAAATAATGCGTAGAGAACGAAATTTTGATAAAAATAAGATAGCCGAAAAGTTATCGGAAAACTCGCCAGAAAACTCGCCAGAAAATGTCAAGTGTGCACCTCCAAACCAAAGAACAAAAAATATAGAGAGAAGAGAGAAGGGAGAGAATTTCCCCAACTAAGAAGTTGGGAAAATGAGGGGATTGTCCCAAAAATTACACACAGGCATCCTATTTATACACACACACAAACACACACTAAAAACACACACATTTAATGAAATTATGAAGTTCGCAGGTCTCGAAACGGGGTTCGCAGCGAGTTTAGGCATGGAATAGTGCAGCTGGGCGCGTTCGCGGGTCGCCAAACCTTGTTCGCGACGAGTTTGGTGTTGGCAGGGTGCTTTTGCGGCTCGCGAAATCAATTTCGCTGCGAGTGTGGCATTTGGAGCTGCTGAGGTTTGCGTTTGGCGCGGCGCGAATCCTTGTTCGCTGCGAGTGTGTTACTGGTAAGAGGAGCGCTGTGTCTGGCGGGTCGCGAAAACACTTTCGCAGCGAGTGTGTGGGAAGCTTGGTGCATGGGATCTGCTTCGCAGGTCGCCATTTCCTTTTCGCAGCGAGTTTAGGCAAGGGCTCCATGTGTGATTCGCAACCCGCCAATGTGACCTCGCGGGCGAGTGCCTAGGCTTGGCCTCCTAGTGCCATTTGGCGGCCCGCAAATCGGATTTCGCCGCGAACATGACCTTCATTTCGATTTCTTCACTCGGGTGACTCAATCGGTGATCTCTCTCTCGGAAACTCATATGGCTCGATCAAAATGGCTCGACTAACTCGTGTCGGAATGGCTCGACATCAAAATCTTGGATAGTGACTCGAATAATAACTCGGAAAATGGCTCGTTTCTCCAAACATGTATAATCGACCTATAAAACACACCAAAGAGACGCGAAAATACGACAAAATACAAAAACACATAACGAGAACGAAAACACATAAAACACGACAAAATGGACCGGTTGACACTAAAACGAACCTAAAAACACTAAACTAAAACACATAAATCACACGAAAATAGCCACAAAAACACAATAAACGTAACTATAAGATAATAAATTTTAATCTATAACATAATATCTAAATTCTAATATAATTTATATAATAAATAAATATTTGATAATAAAAAAAATATAATTTATATATGTTTTAATAATTTAAAAATTATATAATTTATTATTATATATTAAATATGTTACTTACTTAAGTATATATGTTAGTTATAATTATAACTAACATAATATATTAGTTATAATTAATATATTATATATATAATATATTATAAAATATATACTTTTTTAATATAAAAATGTAATTAATATATTAATTAATAAAATAATATTTTTTGATTATATAATCATACAAACTAATTAATTAATAAATTATACATTTTTTTCAACTTATATTACAATACTAATTATAATTTCCCTAATATCACTACAAGAATATTCATTTTTAGTGGCGAAAATTTTTGTCGCTATATGTTCGAATGTCGTCACAATAATCATTTTATAGTCATGACATTAATGTCGTCACTAAAATTAGTGTCGCTAATAATGATTATTCTTGTAGTGTATATATATATATATATACTAGTACGATTCCCGTGCTATGCACGGTGGGAGATATTATTAGGGAGATTAGATACCATATAGTAACATCTTTCTAGTTCTTATATAAATAATTAAATATTTGTTTATTTTGGTTCTATTTTCTTTAATTAATACGAATCATGTGCCATGCAGGGGTAGGAGATATTTATTAATATATATAAATTAAAAATATACATTAAATAATATTTATAACTTAAAAATATGGAATCAATTGTAATACAATTCACCTATATTACAATATAATTTCAAAATAAGTGTCATTTTAAAATTTTCATTCAGAAATTCAATTTAACTACAATGTAATTCCATAAAATAATAATTTTGATAAAATATTATGAATATTTAAACATCTATGTGAATAATAAGTACAGTTATAAAACTATA